TTTGGAGAGAGATGATGTTGATGATGAGAGTGCTCGACAAGGAACAGTTCGTCGCAACCAGACAGGCCCAGCCGCTGAGGTTGATCCAACCCGTGATCCAAGACAGGGGGATCTTCAAAGACTTGGGGGCAATAGTGGCCACCCAATGATACTGCCCCCCAGAAGTTGGCTGCGCTGATAGAAATTCAGCTAGACTTGCAGCAAGCGAGAGATTGCAGACACCAGCTGTGACGAGTCCCCAAATAACAGCGACAGGTCCTCCCGATGGTAGAGCGAGCGAAAGCGATGCTGCAAGAGCAGTCCAAGAGTTGAGGATGGCAAAAGCTAAACCCAGCATTGTCCAACGACTGAAGTTGCGCTTGAAGGACTGGGAATGGCCCAGCTGAGCGAGTTGGTAGTCATCGAGATTGGTGGTCGGTTTGACATCCATGGTATCAGATACGCCAGCAAGATAAAATGGACGAGATATTTGCGAAGGATGGATAGAATGCCTGGGAACTGTCCCGATTATAAACCTCTGGTCCATCCATTCCGGCCATAACGGTTCCAGCACATGGTGTCAGATCAACGGCTGACAATATCGGCCGAAGCTAACTCGATTCAATCGCGGGGAAGAAATCCTCCAATCTCATTTGATGAACCAGCAGGATTTCCGTTTACGCCCTCCGACTACGCTCCGTTTTCACAGGATAAGGATCCACCGTTATCATTCCCGTGCGGAGAACCCTGGCCAGACTGAAAGCTTGTGATCATGGATTGGAGATAAGAGGCTGAGATGCTGACACTTGATTCGTTCAATTGTCTCGCCGTCGAAAAGTTGCTAGTTAACTGCTAGAAACGGTAAGAGATTAGGCCACCCTTGACAGCTGCACGTCGGTGAGATTGATTATCATCGGGATAATCTTGAGCGCTTTGGGAAGCTCGAGGGAGACGAAGTTATCCGGAATTTATCTGCATCGATTGAAGTGTTGTCCGATTGGGCACGGGCAATAATCTCGGCGAACTCCTTTCTATCCTCAGGTGATACTTTATCGTAACTGTAGGCTCTGTATTAGTATCCACCACTGTTTTGAGCCCCAAAAGGCAAATGATATTCTCAAACTTATTATGACGCAACTCCTAGGGCCTACTGGGGTCTTTGTGCTCCGAATAGTATTCGCTCGAATTCTTGTCAGTAAAGAAATATTGTTTGCAGCCTGCATCGCTGGCATCAGTACTACAAGATACATCGTGATGCGGTTGCTATCTCAATTGGTGCAAGCTCTGATATTCTGCTGCCAACCCTATAGCTTCTGCAGCCCTGCAGCTTGAGTCGAATATAAGCTTCTAGCTAAGCCTAAGGCAGTAATAAACAAGCCTGAAGACTTTATTGACGGGATTCAGGACTTATGGTACTAAGAGTAGATATAATTACGAACCAATTACTGATAGGTGCAGCACGGGAATGACAGACGTATGTTTAATGTTCCCTTGAATAATACGGATCCAACAAGATGCAATTATATAGACTTGCTGAGGGGGCAACACATCATTTAAATCCCACTGATCTACAGAGCATATGACTGCAATATTATTCGGCAGTTATCTGCCGTGGAATCCTGTCAGTGGGCACGATGGTGCTTGGCGTCACTTGGCAAGATCGTTTTGCTTTTGTTCTTGCTGGTTGTGCATGACTTTCGGCAGTTGGCATAATTAGTTATCTAGCACTTGAAAAAGTTCTCCAACCTTGTTATCTTGATCTGTAAGAGTTCTTTAATTATTCAATTAACCGCCTATTTATCTACTAAAGTCTGTAAGGTGATAAAAGGATTTTGTCGCTGTCTTGAGACTGCGGAATGAGCGGAATTAACAGCATAGCATAGCGTCACACTAAGAAAGACTAACCCCTGTAGTGCTTAAAATCTTCTTAAGCTATCCTATTTATGCTGTTTTAAGTAATATGCTTCAGATATTAAACCGCCATGCTTTAACCTTAAGTGTCAAGTAAGTATGGCGTTATTTTCACAATACGCAGCGTATTTACAAACTCCATCCAACTAACAATAGACACGGTAATACGCAAGCTTGAAGCGTCAGGCCTCTTCCTTCTGCACCCTCTTCCATTGGCCATGTAAGCGAATGTGGCTTGAGCCTCATTTCCTTCGAGGTCCTCAGAATCCGTTAGAGATAAGGCTCTAGCCCTGCTCCAGTCCAGCGTTGTCCCAGGTATTCGGGTAGTCTTCGGGCCCTGACTCTTGCAAGTGTCAAATGTGGAGGGGTTCCCCTTATGCTATATTGTTCCAGGCCAAGTCTAAATTCAGCCCTGGAAGACGGCGTGGGCTGATTCAGCAAACCGGAACGAATAGCATCACGAATTACTCGTTGCGAATTGCGAGAGGGGTCCGAGTGACACTAGGATACAATGCCGTGGATGCCGCGGTGGGGCCGGGCGTTCCTTATCTCTTCAGTATAAGGCGTTTGGTACCAAAGAACGAGACCACTGAGATAACCAGTTCCCCAGGGGACCTTTCAAAGAGAAGGAAGAGTCAAAGCTCATACTATCATATCATGCATCCATTTGTCGGAGCCAAGAGCAGACACTGCCGCTCCTTATCTAATTGGCACTGGTCCATTGCTGTTATTGGGGCTATTCACCTGGCTGCAATAGTTTCGTTGTCTAACCAAGCCTCAAATCGGTAGTTTGCATTAGTCCAAACATGCTGAAGACACTAAGCGCAGCCTGCGTCAATAGCAAGTGTCTTGCGAATAACGATAAAGTGTTCGGGTTACACGTCAACGCTAAGCGACGCCCGGGTCGCATGGATTGGTTGTGAGCTTCCCTCACACCAGTCACATCACAGTCTTCACTGGCTGGGAGTATTCTGGAAGCTGCTTGGGGCAGGAATTGCGCAGGGGATGCCACACAAATGGTACGATGGCCCCTTCTTTATACAATTTTTGTCGCATCGTTCGGTATCCGGCAAAGCCAATGTAAGCAACTGACATCAGCCATTTGTAGTCCCCAGGGGACAGTCAAGAGCTGGAGGCAGTCCAGACTATAAAGAAATGGCCAATCGACTCTAAATTAAATATCGCTTGCTTGCTTCCCAGGTTGCATGGTGCAAAGCTAAATTGCAAACACTAGTCATGCTACTCTCTCCTCAAAACGCCACACTATCGATAACGGGCGTGGACTGACTCAAGAAAATGGAGGTCGCTTTACTCGAATTGAAATGGCTCAGCCTGTTTCCTCTCAACTGGGAATTAACAAACGTCTCTACATATATGCCCATGGAACTTTTGTTCAAATGATCCGCATCCTTCGTCATTTCTCTCCCTTCCTTCATGAACTTTTGATCTGAGACAGTTACCGATTATGGTCCAAGCTTTCCCCATCTATCTGCCTCGGCAGCGGGAGCTGATCGCGACTTGGGTAATCCTGCCCATGCTGTCGAATATCACGGTCGGGCTTCGGTTTTACGCAAAGTCCAAGACGAGAGGCGTGTATGGCTGGACTGACTGGATGATTATAGCCTCTGCTGTATGTCAACTGGTCTCACGAAGCACTTATTATTATGCTCATCTTCTAACACTTGGCAGTTCTTCACCACTCTCCTTTTTGTCTTGCTTCTGCTTAGTGGGTCTCCTCTTCTCTCCAAGTAATTCGACAGAACAACACTCCACCGAAGATCAATGGCTAACAAGTGTCTCGTAACCAGTGCTTATCTACGGAGGCATTGGAATTCCCGGATATCCATACACCAGTACTACAGAGCCAACCGACGTCTCGTTGATCCACGATCAGGTACGCCTCGTACGATTACAGTTCCAATACTTCATTGTCTAATCAAGTCATGTATTATCAGATTGGCTATGCCAATAACATCGTCCTTGTGTTCGCAGTGTACTCCTGCAAAGCTTCGATCCTGTTCCTCTATCATCGCCTCTTCACAGGCCACAATGGCCCGATGAATATAATAATATACGTGGCGTCGTGCATAACTTTTGCGTGCTTCATGGGAAGTGTCATCGGTTATCTTGCCGCCGTACGGCCGATTGAGAAGTGGTGGGCTTGGGGCGATGCGACGGCTGAGCAGTTTCTTGCCATGCAAAACATCAACATTGCCTATGACAGTTTGACAGTTTTCACTGACTTCTTGATCTTTGTACTCCCACTCAAGTCAATCTGGGGGCTGAATATGAACCGCGGCAAAAAGATCGGTATCATTATCTCCTTTTGCTTTGGTTTTATGTAAGAGACCTTTACCCCTGACACATAGCATGCCTTCTACCGATCGACTCCTATCCAGTGGACGTTCACTAACAATACATACCTAGCACCTGCTTCATTGCTCTTGCTCGTGTTGTCTTCACACATGGCTACCAATGGAAGAATCTCTACGATGAGGGAACTTTGTGGTCCCTTGCAGGCGTCGAGCCAGTGGCAGGAATCATCTGCGCATGTCTCCCTGGCCTGCGTCCACTCATGCCCAAGACGTTCAAGATGACGTCTTATGGTACTCCGGCAAATCCCAGCAGATTCAGGACTACTGGCACTACCACGACGGATAATGCGAAGAGGAGTACTAATAGGGAGCCCAACCCATTCAGGGTCCTGAATGATGACAGCTCGGTGACAGAGTTTGGACGAACCGTCAGGGAGGTCCCTTCGAGATCCGAGATAAGTGATGAGTATATTGAGCTTGAAGAGCAACGGCCCAAGGCATTTGATAGATAGTGAGGACTAATTATAAGATGACTTGAGATATGTATTTAATTTACTTTATTCCTATCAATTGGTTCATTTCATGATATACATACATCAAGCTCTTTCATTATGTCAAGGCTTCCTCTCCTCGGGGACTTATGCCCAGTTTCAACAAGAGTATGGTAAGCAATGGCAACGCGTTATCCACAACATCGGCTTCCTGAACCCAGGAAATCCATGCAGCTCTAGTGACTGACACTTGGTAAAAGTGAACAATATGGCATACTCAGATACAACTATAAGCTAATAGTAATTAAACTGGCAAAACGACCTTGACCCCCATGTACTCTCGCTGGTGCATGAGTTTTCCATCAATCAGAACCTGATGAGCACCAACTCTATTGTTCACTGTGTCGGTAGGATCCGTACATGTCGCGATCTGGATCTCGCGCCATTCTCGGTTGGTGGGAACGAGCTTGCCCTGCTGCGTTCGCTTCTTGAACTCAGCGTACACTCCTTGTTCTTCGACGCAGCCCTCGCGCTGGATAAGGGGAGATTCTGTCACATAGTCAGTACCAAGAATTCCAAGGGACAGCCAAGATAAACATACCAGCAGCTGGTGTCATGCGCAAGTCACCGACGGAGCTGTTGAATAGCACCAATGAGAGACGCTCGTAGTTGCGTTGGTCAACCGGGGGCTTGTAGACACGGTGACGAGTGGCTTTAAAGTGTCCCCCCGATACGATCTCGAGAGTATCACCGATATTGACGACAAGAGCACCAGGCTTATAGGGGGCATAGTACCACTTCTCATCCTGACCCCAGATCTGGAGGCAAGAGACAGGAACAGAGAAGAGTAGAGTGGTGAGACCAAAGTCGGTATGCCCATGCATGCGAAGACCCTTGGAAGCTTCTTCTGTTGTCTTCTGCACAGGTCTGAAGAGAGCGTGCCTGAAGTAGCCCTCGCCAGTTGGGCTGCCGTGCGACTGGACGTTTTCCCATAGGTAATCGTCTGGGAGCTCGAGAACTCGAGAGAAGAGAGTCAGAAGACGACGGTTGACCGAGCCGGTGAGGTAATTGGCGAAAGCCTCGATTTCATCCATGAAGGGATGGAGACAGGTGGGCACGCGGTTGATGTCCTCCCAGTCGGGTCGGTACCAGTTGAACTGTTCAATGCCATCAGGAGGTCCACGGTGACGCTGTCGGATGGAACCAGTTAGTCAATCGGTTCAATTGAAATAGCTTATAGGCCGAATGCAGAGACAGGGACTTACTTTGAAGCCAAATGGGTGTTTGTAGCCAGACCAGACACCGGAGTCAGGGTTGAAGAGCAGACGTTCCTTGTCCTCCTCAGAAATGTTTTTGTACATGTACTGGGCGATGGCGAATTGGCGATGGAGCTGTGGTATAAGTCGTCAGCGACAGTGGTTTCACATCAGATATGTTCATCGTACCTGTTCTAGCGAGATACCATAGTTCTCAAGGAATAGGAACCCATCCTCGCGAATAGCTCTCTTAACTTGGTTGACTAACTCCTGCACAACAGAAGGATCATCAGAGTCGAGCAGAGAGAGATCAATAGAAGTGAGCTCGGCAAATTGCTCCTTCTGCTGTGTCACTGGTGGGGGAATCCACTCAGGGACGAAGGGCTTGCCGGGCAATTCGGCTGAAGGGGGACTAAATGGAGCTGCTGGCGACATATTGGGAAGTTCTAGTGATGTCTAGATTGTGAGATAGTTGTTATGAATTGTGATCTGATTTCTTAGTCTGATGGAGATTGTGGTTTGGAGGTTGACTGTTCTGCTCTTATACACTAAACCGTATAATTTGTTTGGTCGAGCTCCGCCTCTCGGAGATGGTGCAGGACAGAGTCCGGCCTCCCGAGTTCAACAACATACGATGAACTCACGTGCCTCAGCTATCTAGCTCCAACGCTACCGTCTATCCTCCCCAAGATGGATGCTACGTCGTTTGCTGACTGATAGTGCCTCATCGCAATCAGTCAAGCTCCTCCCAGAGACCGATGAAGCCAGTGATCACCCTGAGGTTGCACCTGATTCGGATTAGGGTCGGAGGACATTGGGAGGAGCTAGCGTGAGCTGTTGGAGGGGCCGAACAAGGGACTTGGGAGGAGCTCCTCCCAGATAAGCGGCCAATCAACTAATCCCGAGATTCAACATGAACAAGGACGCATATGATAAGGGCACGATTCTTTGCTCGGTATCAAGCTTGGTATCATCATTCAAAGCATTCACAAGTTCTCAGACAATTCCTCGCAACATCTGTCTCACTTTGCGCCTCATTCAACCTCACAATCAACCATGTCTCGCCAACTTATCTCCAGCGAAAAGTTCCCTACCAAGCCCCACAACTGTAAGTCGCCTAAACCCCAGATCCTCCACTGAGAGAGAAGAACATCACTGACATTAGTGACCTTGCGCAGGCCCAGCCACCAAAGTTCCTGGTCTGGTCTTCTGTGCCGGGCAGACTGCCACTGGCGAGATTAAGCAGGCAACAGTGCGTTTCTCAATCTCCCTTTCCTGTTGACCCTCTAACGCAAGCTTGTAAAGAGAACTGTTCTCCAGAATCTCAAAGAGGTCCTTGAGCTCTCCGGTTCATCTCTTGAGCAGGTTGTCAAGTACAATGTCTACCTGGCTGACATGAAGGATTTTGCCGCTATGAACGAGGTGTACATAGACTTCCTACCCCAGCCCATGCCTTCGCGCTCGTGCCTTCAGGCTCTTCCTCCTGGCGATGGTACTGTTATTGAGATTGAGTGCATTGCGCAGGCTTAGCTGAAATTTAGAGGCAAAAAAGAATAGATCGGATCTTAAAGGTTTTAGAGATAGAGAATGTCACCCTTGGCTTTATAATATTCTTCACCAATTAAACATGATTGACAGTTATACCTCCTGGGACTGTTTGTCATCTGCAGTATCCGCAATTTGCGGTATAATACAAAACTAGCAAAAGCGACAGCTAAGCCCATTTGTAAGCTATCAGACCATTTCTCATCACTAACTTACGATGGGCTGTGTGTGAGCCGATACCACCTCGTACAGCTCGGCAAATAGAGTCGATAAAGTCTTGATCATATCAAGGGGCACAATCTTGATTGTTCCATCTAATTTTACACATAAATGAAGGACGGCTCGCGTATGCGTACAAATAATTGTTCATAACGTGTCAAGGCACGTCATGATAATCTTGCCAAGCTGCCATCGTTGCCTTCGTCCGAAAACCCTTCTGGCCCACTCCAGAGCCGCATTGGTATCTCCATCTTCAACGCCGACAACCTGCATCGTTCCTAGCGTACTGCCCTTGATCAACTGCCAGGCGATTACGAAAGCCTTGAATGCGTACAACATGATCCAAGGTGCCTCCGAGTCTGGTACTACGGGCGAATCGAGATATGTGAGGAACCAGTCGATATGAGGTTTGATGACTTGCGCAGTATTGGACTCGCAAAGAAACTCGCACGATGGCGCCAGATATGTCGTCTGCTGCAAGACTGCATCCATTGTCCCACCGACGATTCCACACGTATGCGACGGCGACCATATCCGCACATCGATCATGGCAGACTGCCATGTAGCCTCACACAACGCTCCACGAGGCCAGTTTGCGTGCTCCCACTCTTCCTCAGACTGGACAACTGGACCCAGTGCTTCGAGGGACTTGCGCAGCGGTTCAAGCCTTTCTGTGCTTATCATTCCTGTCATGGCACTCCAGCCCGACGTCTCTTGAGCACTGGATGCGAGGAATTGAGTGATGTTTATGGCTCCATATGGGTCAAACGAGGGAAAAGAGCTGGGATCCGATGCCAATGACAAGAAGAGTCGAACCGCATCGGGATACTGAACTGGCGGGCCGGGAACGACGGCTACTAATCTTTTGTGCGCCCACTCGGCTGCTGAAGATGCCGCCCACTGATCCTGTGGGCAGGGCAGCTCGTGCTTGATCTCGAGGTGGGAAAACTGACGGGGTATCGAGAGAAACTGATACCACAACGTGTCGATCTGATGTGCAGCGAAGAGCGTCCTCTTATGCGACTCTGCCTCGATGAATGTGCGCCACAAGGAATTGAGACATGGGGTTTTGGAAGTCAGCTCGGTTGGGAGTGGTATAGACAGTCCACTTGACCGGGCGAGTGAGATCATCCTGGTGTGAGTTTTGAGTCCATACGCGGAGTGATTTCCGCAAAGATACATCATGGCGTATACTTCTAGTAGAATGAGAGATTGGACAAGCGATAGAGTACGTGTTGATTCATCTGACCCATTATCATCGCCAGACACGAGATCTCGAGCGCGATGGTAGCACCTCTCCGATAAGCTCACACCAGATTCTTGCTGATCACTACGATCTGGATCTATGCCATATTGATATGCTATACAAAGCATGCTGAGAAGTAAGTGGCTTGGAATGGTCGTGGAATCAAATGTCGGCTGATGCAGAAACGGTAGGAAGTGGGATACATGCTTGAAATACAATTGGCAGCCGTTTGTAATTTGGCTGGTCGACGGTAACCAGTCATTCTGGCCTTGGTTGAAGTCGATTGATCCGTACAATAGCCTTTCGGGACTTCCTTGGTCGAGGCTAAAGTTGAGAAGACTCATTCCAGACGGCGAGTTGGACATGTTGAGATTGCACGAGGGCTCGAGAAAGTTGGCGCCTGCTAACTGAGAAATCGGGCCCAACAGCATTGACTCTTGGGATGAGAATGACGTGGCGAGCATTTGAGTCTCACCCAGATCTGAAGGCAAGCTATTGGAAAGGTTGATAGCATCATTGCCAGTAGACGTCTGTCGAAAAAGCTGATCGGCGTCACCCTCGGCCTCACTGGTCAGCGACGGCGGCGTAGGTGCATGGCGCTGCAGGTCGCTCTGCGGTGAGTTACCTCCCCGTGAAGTCTTTTCCATACGGTCAAGGTGTTTCCGCTTCATGTGCCGGTGACGTAGATCCGGGCGCGAAAAGGTGGCAGGGCAGAGGTGGCAGGGTATGGAGGCATTGCTGGAGGAGCGAGAATGTAGCGCAGCGTGACGCTTCAGGTTCTCATGGCGGGTGAAGCGACTCGAACATATTTGGCATTGGAAAGGTTGTGAGGACGGCGGAGAGATGGCTATACTGCGAGTGCTTGTTGATGCCATTCTGAGCTGGTATATGTATGCCGGTTACGGAGTTTCAATGGCTGGGTTGAGTTGAAATGACTGACAATTTCCCCCAAACAATCAATCCCCTTCCCAATTCCAGTTCCTCCTCTCTTCCCCGCAATCTAATCTGCAATGCAGTGTGGGTCATCATTATCTTCAGGGATTTGATAGGCTCCACTAACTTATCTCCCCATCACGCTTGTTGACTGAGCATGGTTATCATTGGTCAGTCAGAACGCCTATCGCCAACAGTCGAGAGGCTCCAGTTTTATAAACCGTTATCTTTATCGGTTATCAGCTTATCTTACAGAGTACCCGTCCACTCTGAAGCATACCCTATATACTCAACGACGACATTGTCTGTTTTGTGGACTGCAGTCCTTCTCATCCTGTATTATCTTCGTGCATTAGTGACGTGCGTATTGAGAGCGACATGATGATAAATATTTACATAATTATGCAGTAACGAGACCTTTGTAGGAGATTATGTAATGAAGCATAAACACCTTATCAATTCACTATCTATCCGTCTACAAAGTTCAGCCTGATGCAATCCGTGTACCACTCGCCATAGCAATTAATACATTTCGTAACGCCAACCAAGCTGAACCATCTCCTCAGTAACACCACCCTTGACAACCTTAGCTATCTCCTCAGGATCATTAGAGTCCAGTCGCTTATTTTCACGCAAGACGAGCCAGCGATAGAAAGTAATAGTACCGGCAAAGAGAAAAGCGCAGCCCATAAGAGTGCCGAATGCTGCATAAAAGTGAGGAGGAGCATAGTACAAGTATGAAGCCCAGATGTTGGATGTGCCACCAATAGCATTGACCAGGGCAGATGCTGCAGCGCGCTTCGAAATAGGACGTGCAAGATGAAGGTTAATCGTCTTGTACAGCACAAGCTGAGGACCAACAGATGCAAAAGGAAGAATCATCATGGAGAAGTAACGTGCAGGCACATTGAGTGTAGACATGGGAATGATATACATGCCAATAGCAATGGCGATACATGCAATAATGATGGGGTATGCTGTGTTCTTCCTGTCGCTGTACCACATCAGCACCCAGTAGACAGCGCCAGCGAGGACGTAGGGCGGCGCAGTAAGCAGCAGACTGACGGTGCTGCCAAAGTTGAGCGACGCAACCAGAGTCGGAAAGTAGTTGGCAATCGAGCCTTGTGCCTGGGAAAGCAGGTTACACAAGATGAGAAGGAGAAGCTTGGGGTCAGACAGAGCCTTTCCGAAGCTCTTGAGAGTGCTCTCCTTCTCTGAGCCTTCAGCTGCACCAGTTGTTGATTCGATACGCCACACGGCGAGGTCTCGTTCGGGCTGGGAGAGGATTCGGCTGTTGTAGGGAAACTCGGGCATGAAAAAGGCACAAACGACACCAATTCCAACAGTGGCAGAACCCTCAATGATGAAGAGCCACTGCCAACCCTTGATTCCATGTCGACCGTCGAGCTGGAAGATTGCTGCGGCGAAAAGGCCACCGAACGCGTTACCGACTTGTTGGGCGATGTAGAGACTGGCAATTCGCTTTCCGAGCTCGGTTTTGGTATACCATGCGGAGAGGTAGTATATGGCACTAAAGATCCGTCAGATATGTCTTCATTTTTAGCAGGAAGTGAGTAATTCTTACCCTGGAAAGAAAACAGCCTCGGCAACACCGAGAATGGCTCTGACAGCGAGAAGCTGACCATAGCTTTTGACCAGAGCCGTGCAAGCTGAGATAGTCCCCCAAATGACCACAGCAACACAGATGTACATACCAGGCCGAGGAATCCTCGCAATGATGAGGTTGCTCGGGATCTGGAACGGCAGGTAACCAACAAAGAGAATTGATATAGCGGTAGCAAATTCTTCTGTTGTCATGTTGAGGTCTTCGGTGATACCATGAAGTTTCGCCGCGGCCAGATTCTGCCGATCGATGTAGTTGAGAATGTACAATATTCCGATGATGGGCAGGATGATGGAGTCGATCTTTCGAACTAATTTCTTGTTCATTAGAGCGATCTCGTCTTCGTTGAGGTGCAAGAGGGACTCGGGCATCCTCTGATAGGCAGTGCTGGTACCCTCGGCATGAGACGAGGGAGACCGCTTGAGGGATTCATCCACAGGGACGGTAGCCATGATGACAATATTGTTCTTGTCTTGAAGTGGTGAGGGATAAAGAGACGAGGATGGCAATCTGGTATTTTCGTTCCAACACTCGTCGGGAGACGAGTCTATAAATCCACCGACAGGCCGGACATAGCGTTATCTCGACGCATGAGATGAAGTCGCCCAAGGTCTCGTGGCGGGCGACGAATGACGGGGGGTTGATTAGAATGCGGGGATGAAATGCGTTAGCTCGGCGACGCGACTCGAGCTCTAAGCTGAAGCCGAACGCTGTAGATACCAGAATCCGGGGTCCAGCCGGGAGTTGCCGTTATGGTTAGTGCGGTTCGCCCGCCAGATTAGCAGTCTTATCGGTAGGTTTACCGATTACTCGGAGGAGGAGCTCACTGGACACGGCCTGCAGGAAGATTGCCCATTCCCCTGCAGCCCGGGGGGAGCTCCTCCCTGTGGACCCAGCCAGCATCACGCTATCGTGAACGGAGGCGTACAATTGGCATTTTTCAAGAGAAATTGTAGATAATGGATATTGTTATAATTGGAAGAATTAATTAAAGAACTTAATAACTTCCGAGTAGATCGTGACAACAACTCAATATCTTATCGGTCAAATTGACTTCACATTTGCTTGTATAGCTAAAAAAGAACTTCATCAAATCTCTTTGCGCAGCACAAAACAACCATGACTCAAAAAACATATCCGACGGCCCTCACAACAACTATCGAGAACCCTCGATTGAGGTTTCTCAATAAGATCAAGGCTGGCGAGTTTCCCTTGATGACCTTTGTTGCAATTCCCAGCGTGCGCCAAGCTCAGATTGTTGCTTTGACCGGCCTGGACGGCATCATCCTTGACTGCGAGCACGGCCACATTGGAGATGACTCGATGCACAACTCAGTGGCGGCCATTTCAGCCCTTGGCGTGTCGCCCATCATCCGTATCCGCGGACCTGCCCACGATATCATCAAGCGAGCCCTCGACACCGGCGCACACGGCATCATGGTTCCTCAGATCAACAACGCAGATGAGGCGAGGCAAATTGTCGCGTCTTCTAAATTTCCGCCCCAGGGCGTCCGAGGTCAGGGCTCTGCATTCCCTGCCATTGGCCACGGTCTCACAACACCTGAGTACATGAAGTCTGCCAACGAGACCATCATCACCATGATTCAGATTGAGACTCGCGCTGGTGTAGAGAACGTCGACGAGATTGCTGCCACTCCCGGCGTGGACATGCTGTTCATCGGGCCCAATGATCTTGCTCAGTCATTGCTAGGATATGTGCCTGCGCGAGGCGATGAGCCCGAATTTGTTGCTGCTATTGATAAGATCATCAATGCTGGCCGCCGACATGGCAAGTGGGTTGGTCGTATGGTTAACAATGGCTCGGTTGCGAAGGAAGAGAGGTCGCGGTATGACACTGTAGCTATTACCGGAGATACAAAAGCTATACAAAACTGGTATATGGCTGAGTTTGATATTGCTCGGTCTTGAGAAGGAATGCCGATAGAGTAGAATTATTAATCTCAAGCCTTTTGCCCAATTGAGCTCGTGTATCTAGTAACAAGGTCAAAGGAAGGAATTGAGATTGTTAATGTAATCAATTTTGATGATGTAACTAGGTATGTGTTTAGAAATTGCCATACATCAATTGAAGATGAAGAAAAGCACCAGCGCTCTCAGGCTGAAGCTCGTGAAGTATTGCCCGTGACAGGTTTCGCAGACCTTAAAACACGATTTGCAATAATAATTATCTCATTGAGAAGGAAACAAAAAACATTGATCACTGTAGATCTCGGGATTTGGCGAAAAAGAGATACGATTGGCTTCTCAGAAGACTGACAAGGGTCCGTATCAGTTGTACCTGAGCTCCTGGCTTCTCACAGTCAACTCACTGAAATGGGTGCAGTAAAAGACCATTCTGATCAATCACAGGCTCAAGTTCGAGCAACCCGATAAGGAATAAAACAGTCCAGGTGGGCTATCCGTAGGAGTATCCCAGCTTGTAGCCAATCCAGGGCATTCAAATCAACTGGGGCCAACAGGGATGGAGCAACTGTGACAACTACAGGGGCTGAAGTGTCCGTGTGCAACGAACCATGATACAACCGCTATGACCGGTTTGTCAGTGGGCGCAGCAATCATAACGTTTTAGGTTCAAAATAACCATATATTAGTGGTTTACATTTGTGCAGCGAATGGCACTCCAGATATGGTCAAAACGCGTTTTGGCGTTTTGTTTAATAAAGAGGCTGTGCTCCTCGGTTCTCTCGGGAGACGAGGATTCCGGGGTCTTGGCCGTGAGGGTCATAGCGAAAGTAAAGTCGTTTGGTGATATGTTCGCAGAGAATACTGTTAATTGTGAAGCTCTTGAATGTCTCATAGGATGTCTTGTGTTTTCTTGGCTTGTCTCTTGTGGTGATATGTGTATGTCTAGATAGTAAGACTAGACAAGAGGTATTGTGAGACTTCTCTATAAAGATGTCTAATTCCCTTCACCAATATCTCTAATCATCACCAATAGCCTCAGTATCCTCAGCATCCTAAGCATCCTCAGCATCCTAAGACCACCAGTCCACTCCTCTTCTACCCTCTTCACTTCTATTTCCTGCCGGTCAGGTCTTTAATTACCTCCAAAGTTCTCAAAACACAAGGACCAACCTTTTTACTTATTCCCCGCACCAAAATTCACAATGGCACCCATCAAGAACATCATCTTTGCCCTCTTCGTTGCAGCCGATCTGACAGCTGCCCACAGTGTAATCACCAATGCAGTTGGAGATGCCGGCGGCTCTGGCATGGCTCTGGGTGTTGACACCTCCACTCCTCGCGATGGCACCAGGCGCCGTCCATTCCAAACCGATGCCACTCGCTTCCGTGGTAGTGCCGCTGACACTGTTGGCGAGACGCTCGCTGGTGGTGACAACCAGATCGAGCAGGGCACCCTCGACATCATGGAAGAGACCGGCAGCCAGCTTCCTCAAGTCAACCCTGGCGGCAGCCTTGAGATGACTGTCCACCAGGTCAATTCTGATGGCGCTGGACCTTATACTTGTATGATCAACGCTGATGGAACTGGCACTTCATGGGACAACATCCAAGTCACTACCAACGTTGAAGGCAACGAGCGCGGCCGTAACCGTGATGGTGAGATGGGTGACTTTCCTCTTGTGGCCTCAATCCCTGCTGGACAGAGCTGCACAGGCTCGGTTGCGGGCGAGGAGAATGTTTGCCTTGTTCGTTGCCAGAACCCGGCGCGGGCTGGTCCTTTCGGTGGTGTCATTCCAGTTCAAATGGCCCAAGCTACCGGCAACAACAACAACAACGCTGGTACCGGTAAAGCTGATAACACCGCTGGTACCAATAACGCCGGCGATGCTGGAAATGCAGGCAATACGGGCAACGGTGCCAGCAACGGCAACGCTGATGAGGATGAGGAAGATACCCAGGATCAGAACGGCACCAACACCAACAACCGTAACAAGCGCCGCGCTACTCAGTTCTCTGCATAAGAATCTGCCGATTGTATATGAAAGACTTCTGAGATTGACAGAAGATGGAAATATGTGAACCTGAGACTGAAGTGAAGGCGGATCATGGCTAGGCAGCTTTCTAGCATAGTATATTAGAAAGGCAGTATCTAATAAATACATATGCTAACGGAAATTTCGGTGCCATGAGTATCAATACCAGGGGTTCTGAATGTTGTGATAAATGTTGGGCTTGTGATGTAGCTGATATGTTACTATAAAGTGAGTCATATACTCACCTCTGTAGATTCACTGACAGTAGCACCTTGGTGAAGCGAACTGTTTAAGATACGTCACAAAAGCAATGCTAATGTGAGTCGTTGGTTAATTGACTTCTGAATATATGCTGAAGCCATACCCAAAAGATCCCGTATCAGCCTGGACTAATCCTATCGGTGCTCGTCCTCTTAATCGGAGGTCGGTATATACCTCCAATAATGGATATTCTATGGACACGAGTCTATGAATAGCTGTCGGTCATGATGAAACATGTTTTCTGTAGTCCAGCCCTGTGTAAGCCCCAATGACATGGAGTGAGGAAAGGCCGCGCCTGAAGCACACGGCGCTGTTCAAAGCTTTATTGCAGCACTACTCAAATCAGAGCTAGCACTTCCTTTTTTAGCTTTCCATTTTCGTTAGGTTTGCTTCATGATAAACGATCGGAGTGCAGGAAAAATCCTCAAGCTGGTTGAAGGATAACAAAGAGCGTTACGATAGCGGCGAATAGGCAACCACGAGTGCCAAACGCTCAACTGCGCAATTCCGCGGAGTTCTCCGTCTGCAGGTAACTAGACGCAAATGTCTAAGTAATCTCGCAGAACCAACACGAGCGACGTCTGATGATATCATTAACGCCGAAGAGCCTTTTAGCGCGCCCAGAAATCAGGCGGAAGACGCGGTTCAGCAATCAACGGTCAACTTGCAGTTCAAGCCACCCTTGGGGGAGGGGTCTGAGAATGTTCCCTCTCAAGTGACAAATGTCACCATGCAATAAGCTTGGCGAGCTTTACAACCCTATCAGCTACTTGTATTTGCCCCCAAGGGCCCCCAATGTCCTTTTTACCTACCTCCCTGACAAGAATGATTCAGTTCGGTTCGAGACGACCCTGGTTTGAAAACTCCAATCACATACTATTGAAGATGAAAGCACCAGTAACAGCGTTCCATGCAGATCATTGGTCAGACTTAACACGTCACACTCTTGGCTTTGGTGGTATCATGGGCAATAGCGCAGTATAGCGTAGTATAGCGCAATATGTCATGCTGGTTCACGGCGCGGGCCTCGCGGTGACCAGGGTAGGGGTGCCTGCAGCAGCAGGCTTGACGATGGTGCAGTCCGTAAAATATCGGGGAACCGATACCGCGTGAACGGGACGCAGTGGATTAAATTACTCAATGTTTGGATCGTCGAGGTCTAAATCATTTACGTGCTAGAGACAAAGAGACTTGGCGCACTTGTGAACCACTAAAGGCTGACAGCAGAATGACGTGGCAGACAACGCCATTTTAGCCAACAGAACCTCAACACTCTCATGCAATATCAAACTCAGTTTTCGTTTGTTCCTTCGATAGCTGAACCGTTGTTGATTTGCCATGGTTGGTGTGGAGTAGCTGAATTTTCGACAAGGGGTTCTATCATGTCAGACGACAGCCACGCGAAGCTAGCCTGTCGATCCCGGCACTATTTGACCCAACCGCAGCGTCAAGGCCCAATATTTCCCTGATTGCCTACTTTTGCACTACCGACTGAGCTCCTCTCATTGGCCGTTGCCCCAGGGCAAAGCGGACGTGCCGGATCGATCGAGGCAAACGATAGTCTCTTGGTAGATTGCGCTCTGACCAGTGATCTGTCAGATATACAGTGGCACGACAATATGTCTCAGTTGGGCTATGGAGAAGGTGAAATAGTCTGGGACGAAAATGGTAAGTATTGCCTGTTTGGGGATGAAAATACCTCAATGCTTCCCAATCCGTGATGATCGGTTCATTTCAGACACCTGGACCTCAGCCGGGCGAGGGAGGCGTTCTTGCTGCGGTCCTAGACTTGACAAGGATTATACAGACCTAGACCTAGGACTCTGGATAACATTAGACACACGGCGAGCCTGCATGTTGGTTCAGACGACAAATAGAAGTACGGGGCGATCTACAGTACATAATGAAATCTCAGCCCAACCCGGTTATACCCCAAGACGCGAGGACCCGAGCGCAAGGAGCTGCGCCATGCAAAGCAACCATGCCAACACTACCGTGCATCCAATGACAAACACTACAAAGTACACGAACTCAAGGGGTCTCTCAAAGAACCACAAACGCCCCTCGACCCGGTCGTTCTTCTCCTTTCCCTGGATCCGCCCATCCGGAACGTATTTGAAATCAAGGATGGAGCCACCTCCGAGACCTTGGTTACTGTGGATTATAGCGCCATGCAGCCCTTCCCGACAGAGATCAATCACCTTATCGTCCAGGGCAGGGATCCATTTCTGCAGTCTAGCCAGACTCCACACCAACCAGCAATGGCCTCTGAAGCAGGCATATGAGTACCAGCTCGGCCGTCCCATACCAAGTTGGTCGCAGATCTCGTGTCCATTCAAGACGCGGCTAGCAGCCTGAATGAACCCATCCGAGATGTTGATGGGGGGTAGATCCTTGAGGGCCTCAACGAAGTTGTATCCAATGACAATAGAAGTGGGTGTCACAAGGAGCTCGTTGTAAGCTAAGCTTTCCATCACAGCCTTGGCTTGCGTTGCTGATGTGAAGTACTCCTGGGATGCCCCAATGACATGGGCCACGTATCTCCAAAGAGCAATGTAATCTTCGACCTCCTGTTTCTCGGGGGTGATTCCCATAAGAGGGAGCTGAAGCCAAGCATGGTTGCAGCTGAAGGTTGCAATGGCGTGTATCGAGTCAAGGGTGTTGATAGGAATGCCGTGTGTCTCTTGATCAAAGAATCGGCACTTGGATGCGGCTACCTTGAGGATCTGCTGTCTGACCATGGAGTGCAGTAGACGGACTCGCACAATCGATCTATGCCCTGGACCACCAGGCTTCACATGATCAAGCGAGTGCGTGACTTGAAGAACTAGTTGAAATGTTTCAAGCAGTCGACGTCTCAAGACACGAGTACTAAAGCCACCAGTACGAGCAAGTACTTCGACGACGCTGGTGGAAGCAGAGTTTTCACCAACAAAGCCTTGAAAGGCAAAGCCGATGAGGTTGGCCAGGGCATAGCGGTAGAAGAATTTCTGTCCTCGGGAAATTTGATCCCAGTCAACCCAAGAGGGGACGGTATGGACTTCAATCCAGAGTTGCGAGAGCACTTGGCTCTGGCTATGGTGATGAGAAAGTGTTTCGAACAGGTCTGTTCTGCCGACTTGATGGCCGTCTCTCTTTTGCTGGGCATGGATTTCTTGGATCTCTTTGACAGCAGCAGCTCCAAGCTCATCACATTCGTGACGGAGAGGATCTGTGTGTGATTTGGGAATGTGATCATTCGTCCATGTGAAAGAGTGGTTTCCAATGGTTCGAAGCTCTTCCCGAGCTGGTGATTGCCCGTAGAGTTTCATAGTGAGAGGCGAAAAAAACTGATGAGATTTGGAAAGAGAGACTTGGAGCTAAGCTGAAGTTCTGAGAGAGCAGCAGGACAGACATCCCTCCAATTTAAGCTGGGGATGTCCAAGTGTGCCTGAAAGCCAGATTCGTAGTACCTCCTCCCGTTCCTATCCCTTGACAGAAAAGGTACATTACGCACACTTGTTTCTCGGAGGTCGTTTGGTGGTCCGCGGGCTTCTCCATTCGTCAAGATCACGATCAACATGACGAGGGCGTGATCTGTTGGTGGGTGCTTACTCTTAGTCTTCACTCCATGATTTAGATCTGAGCCATACCCACGGAGTGTGTGGCCCATCTGCCAATAATTCGTGAAAGGGACCCCTGTCCACCCATCACCTGGTATGATATGCTCACCCTAGCAGGCTCCAATGTCTGGGAATTGTGATTCCATCATGGCTTAGTATGTGTCTAGTCTCAAGCTGAAAGGAAATGACGCGGGACGAAGGGAAGCTGGCGGATTGGAATACCTACGAGGCTGGCCCCTCGGTCTTTGCTTTCTTTGAGATATTTGAGTACTCGTGACGCCCAGCAAGCCCGGACGTGATTTCTGCGTGTCACACAACGTTGTTATTGCTTCCCCTATCATTTCCTCCGCACAATCTGTACCTGCAGCACAAGCCATGCAGGTGTTCACCACCAAGATGGAGTCGAGAAGAACTGTCATGCTTCCGGACATGTTTAAAGGTTTCGTGGTCGAGACTCCGCCCATGAATCCCAACTATGAAACAGTCAAGCCCATATCCGAGAGGTGGCTTTCAGAGTATGTCTGCCTGCCGCCTTTGTACACATCACGCTGATGCACTATTAGGAAATGTTTCTTCTCGCCTCGAATGAAGAAGAGGGTCGAGTTCTGCGACTTTGCCATCTTTATATCTATCGCTGCTCCTGATGCTCCATTCGAGAAGCTCAAAACGATGTGCGATTGGGGGAACTGGGTAAGTGGGCCATTTCTCTGGTTGTATAGCTACTCTGACACTTCTTCCAGGTATTTCCTTTCGATGATAGTATGTACTATCATTCACGTTTGTTGTTTATAGCAGAAGCTCACACCAACAGTGTTTGATGAAGGATCATTGAAGTCTGATCCGAAAAGGTCGCAAGTCGTCATTGATAGTCTCATGGCAGATATGCTAGACCAGACTTATACCAGAACAAAGAGCGCTGTAGTCCAGGCGCATGATGACATTTTCCGAAGAGTGTCGAAGGTAAGTCGACCGGTTTACCGTGATGCTATCGCGATCTGACATGTGATCTTCATAGGGCTCAACTGTTGGTAAGTTTCCCTCAATTGATCTTGACGTGGCTATTGCTAACAGCTTCAGGTGCCCGTAGAAGATTTGCTCTCGCAATGAAGCAATACACTGATGGAGTAGTCCATCATGTGAAGCAATTCTCTACAAATAGCATTCCTAGTATCCAGGAGATGCTTGATACAAGGCGGCTTTCATCGGGAGTGACGCCTCTATACCATCTGATCGAGTATGCCCATGATATCGAGTTGCCAGATGAGGTATTCGAAAACCCCGTTATCCAGAAGCTAGAACTTTTGGGTGCAGACTTTGTCTTGCTGTAAGAACTACCCATTGATCATTTTCGTTTGAAGCCACTAATAGACACACAAGGTCGAATGACATTTTATCTTACCGGAAGGAAGAAGTAAGCTGGCTCATGCCATTCAGTATTCCACACCTCGAACGCTAACATGGCGCAGAACGACGACTGTCCGTTTAGCATGGTCGCAGCCTGTCGAATGACGGGCCAGTCTCCACAAGAGGCATTCAATACAGTCGGGAACCTTCTTGAGGAAAGATACCAAGATTGGCAGAGTGCAATTGAGCAGCTGCCAAGTTGGGGACCCGAGATTGACATGAATGTCGCTCGCTATATCCAAGGCATTCAAAACGTGGTGCAAGCCAACATCACGTGGAGGTACGAGATTTCTGCTAGAACCTGATCAAATGCTCATATGCGACAGCTTCCGATCGGGGAGATATTTTGGGAAGCAAGCGCCCGAAATCCGACGGACGAGAATGATTGATGTCATGGTCAATCCGCCATTTTTACAGGCAAGACAGCGTCGGTCTGGTGGGTCAAAACTGGTCATTGGATCGTTATTCAGACGATTATTCGGGTCGTTTATCATTTGTTTCATGTTTGCTTTTTATTTTACCATTTTGAAGGGTTGAGGGAGGTCACAGACGCGCTACTTCGGATTATCTAGATTTTCTCCTTCGGCGTTAAACCGGCTGTAAACATTGACTTTAGAGTGATAGAAAACATCGAAGCAAATTGATCAGTGCGCCCGATCTGCCCGAAAAAGGCGGACAGCGGGAAGCCTTTCGGTAGCGAAGAGTCTGTGTGTCCAACCGCCAACCAACCAACCCAACTGTAAAATACTTGTGCGTCACTGAAAATCCCGCTACCCAGGCTTGCCAGGGAGAGCTGACAGGCTGATCACTTCCCTAAATGATCTCTAGCTCGCGACAGGGGCATGCATGTCAGTGGATCGAGCGATTCCCATCAGGCCAATACATTTCTTATTCCCGCTCTCCCTGTCAGCAACTAGCCGTTTTGTGTGTGTCAAGCTGCCAGTTAGTTATGCTGTTGGTGAGGCCCATATCACTTCAAGTTATGCACTCTGTCTTCGGGCGTCATCCCGAAAGCTTTCGGCCGATGTATTTCGGCCACCACCGACTTTTTGCTGTGCAGTACAGGTCTCCGAAAAAAGGATCTGTTGTCTATATCATAGCCGACAACAGTATCCAAGTTTGCACTTTTAATACCGATTTATTTTGGGGTATTTATCTAAAAATGTATACCAAACCGCTGACTAAAACACAAACCCTTAAACGGTCACGAGTCCAAGCAGAGGACCAAGATAGCAATTACGATGCCTCATCGGAAAACACACGACTCACTCATTTATTAGATGCAGATGACGGTTGTCTTGACGATGGATTTTCCTACTCACTAGTCAGTTCATCTCACTTGATAAGTAAAGTCGTAGTGATAGTTCTGACTCTATCTAACATCGTCTACAGCATAATAACAAAGACCACCATAACCTAGCGATTCTAGATGCTAGCGCTGACTCGCAATTACGAAACGCACTCCGCTTCCTCCCAGCCAAGCCTCAATTAGGTGAGCATCTCGTAATCTGACCTGGGTTCACATCTGACATTTTCCCAAAGACGGTCTCATTGAAGCATTCTTCAGCAATGTCAATCACCATTACAATTTCATTCACCCGCCTGCCTTTATACGCCAATACGTCAACTGGTCGTGCAGAACGCAACAGCCATGTCTCCAGGATCTTCAACTCACAACCCTCATATTCATGATGTGCGCTTGCGTTACGCAGCATCTCGACCTTGATGCGCAAGCGACACTGGGAACTCATCTGACCCAGCCATCGAAGGATGTTTCCAAGGCTTTTCACGATGCTGGGACAAGGCTTGCAGAGGCGATACCAGATGGGTCCTATCATCTGATCAATCTTCAGTGGAAAGTCCTTTCTATCTGCTGGTTCAAAGGCGAAGCAAAGTTCACGGAAGCCTGGCATACAATAGGGCTCGCTGTGCAAGAGGCATATGAGTTGGGTGAGTCAATAACATGAAAGATCAATTGGGCTCTTACTGAACATTCATGCAGGACTGCATAAGTCGCGACACAAGGCGACACAGGATATTGAGGTGCAGATTGGCCGACGAGCCTGGCGTGTGTTGTACTGCTGGAACTGGTATGTTAAAAGTTGGGCAAAGATGATGACTCGTGCAATGGCTAACATCGCACAGGCAATTGTCGTCAATACTAGGTCGGCCTTTCATCATGAACGACATTGATTCAGAGCCTGAACAACCCGACCTGAAAGGTTCAGCACCAACACCAACGCTTCATACCAAACTCCAATACCAGCTCATTTCATCCCTCGCCAAGCGCTGGCAGACACCGCAAAACATCAACTCGCCATCCAAAGTCCGGGACTACAAGAACATGGTGGAACATCACGTGTCCTCCTTTCCAGCTGTGTTTGCTCTAAACAACCCAGACACTTCGAAAGATGCTGAGTGGCCTTGGGTCGTGACGCATCGCTACTATGTCCAGACAATGGCGTACTTTATGATACTCCAGCCATACAAATCATATTTCTTACACCCATCGGCAGATTTGTCTGTACCAGAAATACAACAACTGCGAGCAGAAGCGGTAGAGTGTTCGCTGAAGACGTTGCAGATCGCAACTCAATGGGCATCTCGAGTCTCACAAGGCGATGGACAGTTTCACCTTGTTGTTCTGTGCCTCTTTGACACGGCTGCTTTCTTGTCCATGTCTCTGCAGAGGGATCAAGTGAACAACTTTCCTCAGCAGGTCAAAGTTGTTATTGCGGTTAATGAGGCTGCTGCGACACTGAAGGAACTTCAGACAATATCGCGGGGAGCTCAATCGTCATACAGGCTTTTATGCAAGATTCTACAGAAAATGGATTGGAATGCTACGGATAGATGAGAAACGTAATGACTCACGATTTATGTCACGTATTATACCTAGTTGCACTCAAGTGGTTTCATATCACCACAAATCATTACCTATCATGAACACTCTGGTCTCTCTGTGATCCTGCATGTCATCTTCCATCAGCCCAGAATCTCTCCAAGGCGTCTTGCCGAACTTCGTATGCCCAGTGGTGACAAGTCTGATGCACCACAGGACTCACATCAACCTCATCTTCATCTCTCCCATCATCCGCGAACACCGTCCGTATCCCCAAAGCCACGTATTTCTTGAGCAATATCCGTCGCCAACGACCTGTCTCACCAACGCATTTCTTCCACCGACTGATCTGGCGCTCGTCATCAGAACAGCGACGACCCATCCAGAAGCGACAATACCACTGAAACCAACCCCTGACGTCGTACTCGTGCGCGATCCAGCCAGCTGCTTCCCATTCTTCAATGCTTTGCCCGCATGCGACGCCGTATTTGTTTATCTCGGGATTGTATATGTCGCTGGTGAGATATTCATCCACGTTCAATCCTGCAGTCCACGAGGATGGTAGTTCTCTCCAATCATCCTGTATAGTAATTCCCAGATGCTTTGAGAATAAAGGTCGCCAGTAAGAGCCACCAAAGCTTCCCTCGCGGATGATCTCTTCTGGGGATTTGTTGGGCCGAAAATCCGGATGAGATTCAAACTGGAATTCTCCAGAAGCATTGCGCGTCGGCTGATCAGCTTCTGCCTTCCATCGTATCCATCCGTCTTGAATGGATTTGACGTCTTTGCGAGTTTGAGGATCTGATTCAGGATCTGAACTTGTTGATTCGACGGCGTTGTTGTAGTTTGCCCGACTCTGTTTTCTGGTTTTGAAAGAGGTCTGTGGTCCAGACGCATCTCCTAGCTCTTCATTGTAACTTGGTTTCGTGCTGGCTTCCGCTATTCGCCTGGATTGTCTTGTGGGCGCGCTTGGTGGAGTGGTCCTACGTTTAACGCGCTTGCTGGCAGGCTTGGATTGAGGATCGACCTTGGGTATGGGATTCTTTAGTTCACTGAGAAGCATCTCATTTTGCTTGATATTCTCCAGCCGTCTTGCCGCAAAACCTACCATTTTGGTATCCATGACGCATTTACAGTGGTGATGATCGCCTCAGAGGCTTCAGTCACAGTAGGGAGTGCATGTTGGGGCACTAGCTACGTCATAGATCTGAAGCTGCTCCATGCTGTACAAACACGGTTAGTGCCAATCGATTCTGAGGGATATCATATATAGGGTAGCTCTATCATTGAGTATGTTATTTTAGGTATGTTAAAGATTTAAATGAAAGTGAGTCACGACGCAAAGCAGTCAATTGAATAACATTAAATATAGCAATAGCATAACTAGTTACTTTAACCTCGGTAATATAAATAGGTATCCAGCCTACAGAGCATCGTGAGGGGCTTGATGAATCAAGACCGGAGGCCGGACCGGCTCCACTCAAACCCGCCGGCAACGAACCGTGTGAGCGTGTGAGCTGGCTCGAGCTTGGTGGCCATGCCTCTATTCAAAAGCATCTCAGACTCGTCCCTTTCTCAAAGAGGCATTCCTCACTATCTACAAAATATTCATTTGCTCTTTTTCTAGTTCTATCCTTACGTATCAACTCCGTTAGTCAATATGCATGCCCACAAGACCCTTCGACAACTCAGCCTTGGCTCGAGTTTTACCCGTTCTCAGCGAGGACGCCCGTGGTGCTCATCCCATCGTCGTTTTGCGACATCAGCTGTCGCTTCATGGATTGACAGGTCAAATACAATCGGCTTCATCGGCCTCGGCGCCATGGGTGGCCATATGGTCAGCTCTTGCGCATCCAATTCATTTCTAAGGAGAGAGTTCTAATCTGCCTCATTAGATTACCAACCTTATTTCAAGATATCAGAGCCCTACTAGCGGAAACAAGGTCGGCTTCGCATTATGTGATGTGAACCAGGCCGCCGTGGACACTATCATTAAACGCCAAAATGCCGAGCACCCCGACGTGCCTCTTATTAGTTGCTCAAGTAAGCATGCGCCATAGGAAGGCTTGCCATACATGCTAGCATCACCACTAACCCCTGATAGCACCTTTTGATGTAGCACAGAAGGCTTCTACCATCATCACCATGGTCCCTACCGGAAAGCATGTCCAGGAAGTATACGTCGGCCAAGGCAAGAGTGTTCTCAGTGCTCTCAAGGAAATGAGTCAGGATCAACGCGCGGATACTCTTTGTATGGATCAGTCAACCATCGAGCAAAGTGTCAGCAAAGCGGTTGCCCTACAACTACGACAGGTTGGCGCAGATCTGGTGGATGCCCCAGTTTCAGGAGGTAACTAAGCCGAACCACTTATTTCTGCTGCCGTGGTAACTAATTCATCACGATGCAGGTGTCGTTGGTGCAGAAAAGGGCACATTGGCCATCATGGTAGGAGGATCCAAGACATCGTACAATCGCGCGGTCCCCGTCCTTGAAGCCATGTCTCGCAAGGTCACTTATTGTGGTGACCTTGGAGCTGGACTTGCCGCTAAGATCTCTAATAAGTGCGTGTCCTCTTAACCGGCTGTTTTCGATATGATTACTGACTGAGATATAGTCTCCTGCTTGGTATCACGATGCTTGGCCTGAGGTGAGTTAGAAATAGTCAGAGCCTGGATACTCGAAAGCAGAGGCTAACAGAATTCAGTGAGGCGATGCTACTGGGAAAGAGACTCGGAGTCGATCCGCAAGTCCTCGCTGATATCATTAACAACTCCACGGGGCGATGCTGGTCTAGCGAGGTAAGTCAACCAAACGACCTCATGATAGCAGACCGCCGTTTTACAGTTAGAGTACACGCTAATCTTCTTGTCTAGGTCAACCACCCCGTTCCTGAGGTCAAGGTCGCAGATGCTAGCCCTCCCTGTCACCGACAGTACGAGGGCGGCTTTGTAACCAAGCTGGCTCATAAGGATCTTGCCCTCGCCGTGTCAGCCGCAGCAGAAGCTAATGTTCCTCTCGCGGTGGGAAGATGCGTCGAGGAGACTTACAGACCGTTGGCCAAGTCCAAGGAGTTTGGAGACCGAGACTTCAGCGTGATATACGAGGCTCTTGATACCTTGGGCTCCACCAAGGTATAAGCCACTTGTGGTGGAATTTCTACGAAGGTCCATAAGCTGTTCAATTGACTCGGAGAATGGCAACTCAGCCGTGTGTCAGAATATACATCTATCATAATAGAGATCTGGTGGCTTTGAAGGATATGTATTAATTGGTACAACCTTTTTAATAGCTTGAAAATGGTCCTCACTCTCAATTCCTATCAACTGTGACTCTTCTATTCATCTTGAATTGGCCCATTAAAACTAGAGAGCAAAGCATAGTCGATCGGTCCAAACAAATCGATCCACGAATTTGGCATTAGACCATCTGATTCCTGGCCACTGATCTGAGCATCTTGGCTAAGCTGGTTTGACATTGTATTATAGTCGACTAGGGACCACATGGTTTCTTCCATCTCAGCCGTGAAGCTTAACCCTTGGGTGAGGCTATTCATGTGACGCCCTGCAAACCCATCGTAGACTACCTGTCGAAGTTTCGAGGCCTAGTGAGGATAATTAGTGTACAAACAAGACAAAACTGAAATCTAGCACGTCACCATTGTTCTGACATTACTCCAGTGATGACCGATGACATCCAGATATCCCAAGGCCTCCTCGAGTAATATCTGAGCCTCTTGGCAAGTTGGCGAGTCCTCATCATAGGTCCGGAGCGCGATAATGGATCCCGCGACAGTGACGGCATAACCGCTGGATGAGGCGTGGAACGAGCAGCCCAACTTGCGCGACTCGCGGATAAGAACCATCATCTGCTGTGCGTGAAGCCAGGCCAAGTCAGATGATCGCTTGATGAAACTGATAGGAGCAAGATTTCGGCATGTATTGATGCGGCGCCGCAGTAAGAAGGGATGGTTGAGTAGGCAATAACAGAGGTGGAATAATGCCCGAGAGAAGATAATTGGGCCAGAGGACTGGCTGTCTACCACGCCTTCGGCCAAGACATAAGGTGCGAGTATTTCGTCAATTGGCCTCTGTATCTCCAGATATGCTTCAAAATGGAGAAGGTCGGATTCAATGCCTGCAAAATCCGAGCCAGGATCCCATGGCGGATGTGGGCCTCTGATGTTGAAGTCTTGAAGCACATATTGTGCGCATCGGCCAAGGATCTGCGCAATAGCAATGACCTGCGCCAAAGGACATTGGCGTTGTGATATTGAGAGGGTTCGGTTCGTCATCTCGTCCAACGATTGTGTCTTGGCCCAGAGACCCTCCCTCCAGATTGACTCATCACAGGGCAGCTGTAGATGGCACGACGCATCAACGATGGCTGGTGGTCTACCTCGACCGCACGATACTAGGCGATCCAACAGATACACTGACCAAAACACCCGTCGTCGCTCTTCCTGCTGGGCGTACGAGAGATGCCCTGCAGTCTCTAGCATGAGCCCGCAATCCTGTGCGATCCTCACGGCGAGGCCTACTTTGACCCACGCTGAGCCATGGCGTAATCGACCGGCTATACATGTGAGATATGATGGTCATTCGCTATCTGAAGAATGTAGCAACGTACCAGTAAAGTCAAACAAGCCCAGCAAAGCAACAGTCTGGACTGTAGACACCTCTGCGACCTTGCCCACGGTAAAACAGTCGGACACAATGAGTTTCCAAGATCTGTTGGCATATTCGACAGACATTTCCAACGCGCGCCCCGAATAATACGGATGCGAGCAGAACCGGACCGCAGTCGCCATGACAGCTAGGACGAGATGTTTAGGGACGACGTGTTGAGCCAAGCCCTGCCGGAAGGTTTCTTCGTGAAAGAAGGAGTAGGGCTGATTCTGGCAGTAAGTAAAATAAGAATCAACGACTGCCATGAGCACATCCTCCGGTGTCCCAAAGTCTTCGATCGCAGGGTCGTTTTGCGGCGAAGGCTGGAACGTCGTGCCCGCCGTCCTGGGGCTACTGACGGTCTCTGGACGCCCGGAAGAAGCTGGCAGTCCTGCCGCTACAGCACCCAAGTTAGTATTGCTGCCATCAACCAGTGCAACGAGGCATCTCTCAATCCTAAAAAGCGATTCAGTATCGCGATTCGTTATTCCTGAGACACAGGCTCACCGTTGTAGGCTTGAACCCATGGACTCGATCTTTGCCTCCAGTTTCCCAATCCTACTGACGAGCTCCGAGGTCTAAGATGTAGGTTTTAACACATTTTTGAGAATACAGATATGGATCAAAGTCAATATGTACCTGTGTGTCGCTTGACTCGGAGGTTTGTGTTTGTCGACAGGTCTCGGGGTCGTCGATGGCGATGCTTGCAGAACGAGTCCTTTGCTGCCTAGGAGCCTGCCGCCGAGAAGCCTCGACAGGATATACACAATCTTGCATCGTTACACACAAGTCCGATAAGCTTATCATCAGATGTGAAGCGTCACCTACCAATGTTGAGTCGTCCGCACTGCCCGCAGACAGGTCGATCGCCAGTGCACCGGCATTTTTTCCGTCTTGGGTAATCAGCTATCTGTCGCCTCGCCTGCAGCAGGCCAAAAAGGCGGGGTAACAATTGCGTACCGACACTGTAGACATGCTTGGGCAATGCGCTGCACTGGAAAGTAAGTATCGACGTTACTCCCCATAGCATAGATAACAGGACATTGATAGAGCAGATACTTGCTGGAGCGTGGATGGGGTCGATGAGTTGCTTGGTCTGGCTGCTCACGTACGTTGAGGATCCGGACCGGCACGGCCAACGACATGCGCCGCATTGAACGCCCGCCTATTTTCGGCCTAGTTACATGCAAACAGAGAGCACTTGATAAACATGTGGAGCGCGCCCGGACCGTCTCCACTTGTCGGAGTTCGAGACCGTGTCTAGATGCTTGTGATCTCGGTTTTCGGAGTCAGATGCCGTAGTTGCAGTGATAGATGAGGATGCAAAAATATGATTCAACGACCTTATAGACGTTGATGGTTCATCATTGATGGGATGCAGAATCAATTCATTTACCCAAACCACCAAGACCATCAACCAGACAGACACAGGGTACACAGAAAGCGTCAAAAAGACCTTCAAACAGTACAGAAAGCACCGGAATGGACACCGAACCCCATATCTCTATGTAAGCATTTTGAGCAGGGCAGTTTATAAGTTAAACTCTGACATGTACGAAGCGAAAACGAGACAACGGAGGAGCAAACACCAGTGATCCTCGATGTGAACCAAATCAGCCAAACAGCCTTCAGCTCGTTCCCAGACACGAAGTACGGCACCGTGGTCTGGCAAACACTCCTCTCCAAGCCCAGCACCAGCTCCGACTCCATGTGCGTAGGGATCGCGACCTGTCCCTCCAACGGAACACTCGCGCTACACCAGCATTCTCAGGCAGAGGTCTACTACGTGCTCGAGGGGTCGGGGCAGGTTGAGATTGAAGGGGTCAGGCACCATGTCAAGGCGGGCACCGTGCTTTGGATTCCAGGGAATGCGATGCATGGCGCCTTTTGCGGGCCTGATGAGTCGCTCAAGTGGCTTTATGTCTTTCCCGAAGCAAGGTTCGAAGATATCGTTTACAGGTTTAAAGATACATAGTGCGCAAAATGATGAATTTGGGCGGGGATAGCATGTACTGGTTATAATAAAACACTTTCAATGTTATACTTGCTCTCATTTTCGGGATCAATTCTTGCAATCTGGGAACAATGGAACTAATGGAACTGATACACCCCTATCTTGCTACTCTGCCATGCGCTTCTAGAAGCAGTCCAATTCTTCAGTCTCTGCCATCATTGGCCATATAAATGTCCACGATTTCGGCATCGTTGACATGCCAAAGCCGCCACGATCTCAAACAAACTCAGACTATCGATGGCGCTAATGCAAGAAATGCAATTTCAATGCCTAATTTGTTTAACAAAACACCAGGAGGTATAAAAGCACCCTAGGAGTGTCTCATATTCGGTAATCGCATACTCGATATCGTCTGACAACAAAGCCACTTACGGACCGTACCCACTCCCTCCGCAAAGGCAAGGCCCTTGAGCCGAACAGCTCCATACAGATAGCAGATCCAATGAAGTATATGCCGTATAATAGTTTACGATTCGTGGGATATGCCAAAAAAAAAAAAACATTGTCTATAAGATAAGGCTACAGAAGTCGCTCTGTCAAGGGAGTATATCCACGGTATCAGCATTCTTTCATTAGCTGGCACAAATCGCTCCTATCAACCTCCCATTCATCAACCATCATCGATAATGACAAGAATAGTTTCGGGTGCTGATATCTACGGACAAGGGTCCTGGATTGACTCCAAGGCACCGCCAGTACCCGATGATGCACGCCAACTTCTCAAGAAGCTGGCTGAGGCGACACCGGGATTCACCAAAGACTCTGCCGTTCTGGACTCGGTATCATTCACCGGTTCCTCCGACACAATCGTCCCCGGTCCATTAAAATCCGCCGTTATCGCTGGTGCTCTTCACGCCATGTGCGGCATTGTCGCTAACGAGCTCCTCGAACTCAGAGACGGTCAGAGCTCTGACCGGACTGTATCTATCGACACCGATCATGCTGCATTTTGGCTCGGGAGCGTGGGCATGACCAAGCGAAACGGCCAGACTGTCCAGGAGCTTGGCAAGGAGGGTCAACTGGGTGCCATCTTCCCAAAAGATCTCCAAGGAGACATCTTCGGAACACCGCTCAGATTGCGCGCCACGGCAAACTACGAGACCAAGGACGAAGGGGTTTGGTTCCAGCTACATGGGTCTCTAGGCGCAGATCCAGTACTACAAACCATCGGCATAGACCCATCACAAGAGTGCAGCAGTAACGATGAGGCCACTCGAGTCATTGCGGAGCACGTTCGCAAGTTTGGAGCGCATGAGCTGGAGATGATGCATCTCGTTCAAGGCCTTTGCGGAAGTATCTGCTATACTCCAGGCGGATGGAAACAGACACGCATGGCCAAGGACTTGGCTAAGCACCCCCTTATCAACTACAAGCAACAGACGCATGCCGTCCCTACACCAGCCATTCTGTTGCCAGTATCTGCCGATAAACGACCACTGGCCGGCATCAAGGTCCTGGAAATTGTCCGTATCATTGCAGGCCCCGTTATTGGAACGACGTTGGCTGCTCTTGGAGCTGATGTGATCCGTGTGAACTGCGGTCGCCTCCCTGACTTTAATGTAAGCCATTTCAGCCCTCCTCCGTATCGTCAGATAAAGCTTTGTCACTTGTTTACAGTCTCCTCTACTCAAAGTTTTCCACAATGTGTTGAATCTAATAAGATTTAATAGGGACTTCAACTGACGCTGAATGCCGGCGTTAGAACAGTGGATATTGACCTGGCCAAAGACGATGAAGTGAAACGTCTCCTCGAGTTAGTCGCAGATGCAGACGTCTTCATTCAAGGCTACAGGCCAGGAGTGATTGCCAAGAAAGGGCTCAGCCTTGATAATCTCCTAGAGATAGCTGGAAAAAGAGGCAAAGGCATCGTATATGTGGAAGAGAATTGCTACGGACCAGATGGCCCTATGGCTGAGCGACCTGGCTGGCAACAAATTGCGGATGCCGCCTCTGGATGCTCCTATGTTACCGGGAGAAGCCTAGGTCATAAAGATGGAACATGCGTGCTCCCTGCTCTGCCTGTGCCGGATATGCTCACGGGTTTGATCGGTGCCATCGGTACCATGATGGCCATCAGGGATCGTGCACGCCAGGGTGGGTCCTATCACGTCTTTGCATCCCTCATGGCCGCTGCCTCTCTCCATCTAAGCCCCGAGGTTGGATTGTACTCGCCAGAGGTAGTACAGGGCTGCCAAGAGAAGTTTGCCTGGGAACAAACGAGCCCTGAACTCTTTGTACTTGAGCTCTTAGATGTGGTATTGAAAGCATGGGCTAAAGCGATGCCAAAGTCGTTCGGAGAAGATTCACCTTATATGTCTACCCTCAAAGGTGACTGGGGCGAATTTGAAGTGCTGAAGCCGGTCGTTCAGCTGAGCGACAAAAACGCATCGCCATACTACTCATCTGCTCCAGAGCCTAACTGCTATCACGGTAGTACTGCAATGGCATGGCGATAGGAAAGGCTTGTAACTGATAATGATTTTTGTTATAGAATGTATAAATTCATAAAACCGTCTTCAGCTAGCTGGCTTTGCTTATATGATCTTTTTACTATAGTAATTACTTAGACATTTCAGCCTTCTTTTTCTGAGAGCCATGGTAACAGAAACTAATAAGATATGGCATAACTATGTGGTATTAGACTTTCTCAGCAGACTGGTCGACTTGCCAAGGAACAACAAGAACTCGCCCGAGTAGCGGCCTCGGAGACGCACCGATAACGACACCTAGGAAACCTGCAAGACAGGACCGAGGTATCAAGGGATGATACCCCGCTAAACACAGGAGAACTGAGTGCAGCCGCGTCAGGGGTCTCTTGGTGTATCATGGTGGCCACAACCCTAGCGCAGGTGACGAAATAGGGGAGACCAAGCATCCAAGACCAGGCCCACCAAGAACGAAGCGTTATGTATTCCTGAGCACCCATACTTATGACCATGGCCAGGAATATTGCGACATAAAAGAACGACAGGAAGCCATCAGGGCTTCCAGGAGCTTGCAAACTGGTCGGACTTGGTGTCGCGGCAATAACTTACAGTTCGACAGTCAGGGAGTGATCTTGACCTCTTTAACACTATTGACATCGCGACAAATCCACGTGGCAACACAATCGGCCTTAACTTTACTAACATACTACGTGCTGAATTTACTGCCGAGAAAACGAGCTCCTACCATTTCATATACAATTTGGACCAATCAATCCCGCTGCCATATGGCTGAGTTGTTTGACAAGGCGATGAGCTGGAAGGTGGAGGCAGCGGGCCGACCCTTACGATGGGACATCTTGTAGCTTCCTGGTTGGCAAAGGAGTATTTATATGCCGCGGCTGCAATCAGGGCCATCAGAAGACATCACCCCCTTAGCTTCCGTAAGAAGGTCTAAGTAATCAACGGAGACTCTTATTATGTGGTATTTAACGAAAGAGAGAGAACTAGCCAGATAGATACTGCCGGTTTATTACTAATTAACACCTCTTTTAATATATCCCGTCTCATGAACCAAAGTCATAGACTTGAAAATATTTGCAAAATCATTTAAACACTTGCTCCGTGCCTCCAAATGACCAGGCCTTAAGCTAATACCGCCAGGAGGACTGAGGTTAACAAATTCTTCCCAGCCTCTCACTAACAGGGGCCCTTGTCCTGTGAGCAATCCTTGGACGTAGTTCAGCGCAATATCTTCACAATTGAAGTGTTCATCGACATATTCTCGAACCTTTCCCATGGTGCTGTCATCAGACCAGTAATAATCCATAAAAGAAATATGCGAAAAACAAAGGTTGGTGAGGATCATCGAGTACTCTTCGCGCTTATCTCCTGGACAGAAATTATAGGTATATTGGCCCTTTGCATCCATATCGTAGCAGCGTGCGAGGGCGCCAGTGAGACGATACCGTCCGAATTTCTTCCATGTTTGGAACACAAATTCAAGGTCATTGGGGTGATAGTACACATCGTCATCTGTCAAGAGTATAGATTGCGTCTTGAAGTCGGGATCCGGTCGTAACTTCTCGTTAAGGCTGTCTTGTAGGCCTCTCCTAAATCGCACAGGAACTCCATGCTTAGATGTGAAGTTCGTTGGCGGTAGATCATCAACGTCGCCCCAGATGACGACAATTTCGTGGAGTGACGGGATCTTTTCTTCGAGTAAGACTGATAGCGTATGATTCAGTTCTTTCGGACGTCGGTAAGTAAGCATAGCGATGGTGAATTTGTCGCCATCTAGATGGCTATATCTAGTCTTCGCCGCATTCCAGATAGCCTGAGGACTCCCTGTTCTTGCGATAGCAGGAGTCACTTGTTGGTTTGAGGATATGACGGGTAGGATGATTTGGCTGGCGTCCGTATATGTTAGACCGAGGATAAGAATTGACGCGACTGTTGTCAAGATGAACGTTTTATTGAGGAGGAGGCGGGAGATATGCGAGCGGAAAATGTGAAGATAGAGGCTGCACGTTTCGAGAACTCCATGCCTGGAGCTTTTGGACTGGGAAACGGGAACCATGGTTACTGACGGGGTATTGGGATCAGAATAACCAGTAGTTGCTGCAATTGACGATATGATGACTGTATTTAAATAAATCGTAAAGAACATATTATATAACAGGCTCATATTTCTTCTTATCGACTAATGATGTACCGGTAAAGAAATAAGGAGTATACTGCAGACCAAGGTGTTGCGTAAGCCTGCACTACTAATACCATTTATGGGAAAGACTTTTAAATGTAAGTTCACTAGTACCAGATGATTATCAGACGACAATTCAATGAAGCAAATAGCGTCAAGAACCAGGCAAGGGTAGCAGTTAGGCTGTAACACCGACCTCAAGGAGCTGTTGAGATATAACTCATCCTAATTTGGGAACTAAAACCATTCTCAGAGTATGATTGGGACGCGGATCCCGTTCATTTTACAAACTGCAGGCTGGCGCGCACTTCATGTCAAGTCGAGATAAAGAGACAGAGGTATGAACTCAGAATGGCCTGGGCCGAAAAAACCTTCACCATTAAAGGGGCCGCGGCGCTTAAACTTAGCTCAAGCATGTTTACTGTTGTCTCAGGATCATTGCGTGTCAAAGATCTTATCGTTGTCTCCCTGTAACTACAGGGGGCCGCACTAGCTCACTCGGACCAATGGGGCATCTTGCATTTATGATGGCTTTTGGTGCTAGGGCTAGGCCAACAGTCAAACTTCTGTCAGATTTTTCTAATCGAGACACGTTAGCGCCAGGAGCCCTCGACTGAAATCATCGTTAGAGGTTTCGCGATGCCACAAAGAGTGACGACTCAGTCGGAATTGCCAATTTACCGAGTTATCATTTGGTTCTAGACTTGGGCTTCCCGTTTGACACCAAATGGTATGGTTCCGTTTCGTGACCACTAACTTGAACTAATGGCCACGCCATCCCACTCTCCCGAACAACGTCACTCGGTGTCAGTCCCGGGAGAGCCCACATTACGTTCAAGAGTACAGCTGAAATAAATCCCCTTACGAGCTCATATAAGATATGCCTGTATTACTTTTATGTGTACTACCTATTGATGGAAATGAGTGCTTGTATTGCACCAATGAAATTAACATTTTTTTTTAGAAAAATAAGATAAAAAATAAAAACAAAACTACTGCAAGATTGTGGCATTGCAAGTTTAAGCCTCATTTAACTGAGTACAAGTATCACGGAGTTTCAAAGAGTAGTGAAGGCGCCAACAGATATCTATTGACCGTGGAGGCTTAACAGTCTAAACAATGGCACTTACTTATTAGCTCTACATCTTAGGGCTACTTGGATCGTCTATTGTAATAACAAGCTTGCCCATCTGTCGTCCAGCTTTCATATCATCGAACATCCCATCAATATCTGCAAGGCTGCTCAGACCTTGCACTACCCTACTGATCACTGGTCGGATTCCTTTACTGTCGACGAAGGCGACCATGTCCCGAAACTCCTGCCTAGACCCCATCGTAGTTCCCTTCAATTCCACATTCAGCAGAACAGCTGGCATAGTCCAATTCATCTTCGGCGAGACGGTCATACCATATTGAACAATGACGCCACCAGGCTTGAGAAGCTTTACAGCTTTGGTAACGATATCACCGCCAGCGCCGTCAATGACAGCATCGATGAAAGGCCTCGATGACGGAAGCTGACGGCGAATATCTGCCTCCCACTTCTCCACCTTGTAGATCGCGCCACCTTGCGCACCCAAGTCTCTAGCTCTCTCGAGCTTTTCTTGACTCCCTGATGTAACGAAGACATTAGCACCCATAGCCACGCCAAACTGCAAGGCTGAGAGAGCAACGCCGCCTCCGATACCTGTAACCAGAATATTCTGGCCTGGCTGGACAGCAGCTTTGGTGACGAGTGCACGCCATGCTGTAAGTCCTACCAGTGGTAGAGCCGCGCCCTCTGTAGGGGATAGGTGTTTCGGGGCCGGAACAACCTCATCCTTGTGAACGCAAATAAAGTCTTGCGCTGTGCCAACGTCATAGAGACGGGTGGATCCAGTGATGGACCATTTTTTAGGGTCCTCTGGGCCACTTGGGTCGGAAATCCAGCCTCGCATCGGAGTCAGGAGGACGTTTGCTCCGAGTAAGGGGCTATCAGAAACACCCTGCCCAACTTCGGTAATCACTCCATAACCATCCGATAACATGGGATGGTCGAGGGATATGGCAGGGTACTGATGTTGTCTAACGAAGAGATCGCGATGGTTCAACGCAACTGCTTTGAGCTGGACGAGGACCTCATGTTCTGCAGGGACAGGCTTGTCAGCCCTTCTGAGCTGGAGACTGCCAGTGAAATCGGTGTTGGTAATTGAATCACTCTCAGAAAATGGGATGGAACTTACGGGTAGTAGATTTCCCCAGGCTTTCCTGAAGCCTGACCGAGATGCAGCACGCGCTGCAAAGCTACTCTTGATTCTTTGGAGGCCTTCAACATGGTCATCAAAATGACAATTGTTCTTTGGGGACGGTTTTTCAGTGTCTTAGAAAAGCGCCAGATCGGTTATCAGTGATCCTTAAGACTTGAGGCGTCACATTCGCCGGACCGTATCCATTGAGCTTATCGGATGATGCGAGGTGGGCACGGTCCGGCCAGGGAGCCAATCAAAACCTCATGCTGGATCAGAGGAGCTATATATCATCTTAAAATGTCCTTAAAAAAACATTGTGTTCGAGCCCTGCGGTGTTGTCACACTTTGCGTTAGAGAAACAAATCTTGTTATTTCTAGAACGTTTAAAAGCTATCTCTAGAGCGCCGCCAGTCTTTGAGCCCATGCTCTTTGGGCGGTTCATAGAGTTAAAACCAACAGAAGGCGAGGCCAGAAATAGACCCTTCAGATTCTGCTGTTAGCGAATGACAATGCCGTCCTGAAGTGAGACAGGTAGAGAGAGTTTCATTGCATCATACTGCATGCCCGAAGCTGCCGATTGCTAGAGACTGGCCAATTACGGG